TGTGTGTGTGTGTGTGTGTGTGTGTGTGTGTGTGTGTGTGTGTGTGTGTGTGTTTGTCTGTTGGTGGATGAACATCTACAACTGATTAATTTGTTGAGTTAATTTAATTCAAGATGGCCACAACAAAAAACTTGTCAGGCTCAGTTCTGGCCCGCACATACCACTAAAACACGCTAACACTCAGAGCAGATACTGCAAAGAATTACGGCCCTTTGGTGGCCCAGGTGTGGTTTGCCCAATGTGGTCCATGCATGGGCCAGTACCACATAAACCAAACCACAGCTGGGCCAGTTGTGGCATGCCATCATACTGTATAAACATGCCATGTCAGCAGTGCCAGCTTTACACCAGACCTGGGCCACACTTGTCTGATATGTGGGAACTTATTTTAGGAAACACAAAATAGAGTTAGAACTAAGTTCATTTTACAGATATTGAGCTAAAAGTTGGTGGGATAATAGCTGACAGTTATCTACAACACACATTGTGAGCACTAATTGTGCAATATCTGTTTTTTGTTTCATTAAAYATGGGGTTATCTCTGTTTTCTGTGATTAATCTTTGAAGTCAACCAAAGTCAAGGCGATTGCCACGACCAATCAGCTTAGCCAGCACAAAAATGGATACAGTTTTACAGAATTTAACAAAGTTTTAGTGCAACAGTAGGTAAGAGTGATTCACATTAAGTGTCAATGAATCCATTGAGATTTTGCTATTTTTTTTACAAGATTTTACCAAAACATGACAGAAAAGCAGAATAAAGTCAAAATAAAACATGAAACCAGACAGAACATCACATTAATGACTGCAAATAACTAAAGAAAGAAAAGAAAACAAGATTTACTAGCAATACTTTAAGGCAGTCATTCCCAAAGTTGGGGTCGGGACCCACAGTGGGGTCCTGAAAATATTTTCTGAACCGACCACATTTTGTTTGCCTTTGTTGTTACAAAAGAATAACTTTGGTGTACTTAAAATGGACAAAAATAGTGTAATGAATAATGTTACTATGTGCTTGTGTATTTGATGTAAAAACAATGTTTATCAGCCGACAACAGCTGGGGGCTCAGGTCTCTGCTGCTGCCGTTTTATGGGTCAAAAGCTGAAAAGTTTGGGAACGACTGCTTTAAGGAACATAATATAGTTTGAAACCATATTTTCTGGGTAGAAATGACCACAACCGATAAAAAAAAGAGGAAAAAAACTTTTTCTAAGTCAGACTCTTTGATAAGAAAGTCTGTATGGATGTTATCTCTGTGTGCAGAGTGTGACGGGGAATAACTAAACGAGACGCTGGATGAAAGTTTGAAGTGGAGGTGTGCAGCGGCCTATTAGTTTTACACAGTGGGGGATGGGATATGGGATCAATAGGAGGTGACAGAGCATGTGGCACATGACAACCTGTCCCTTCACTCTGAGGGCCTGGCCAACTCACAAACCTCACACACACAAACACACACCCTCCAGTACCTCTGTCACCATCCGTCAAGGCCAGCCAGAAAGAATTAGCTCACTTTGTTTCATGACAGAACCTCTCATRAGACTGTATGTTGAGTTTGCTCGAGCAACGTGGACAGAATGTGTATGTGTCTGCGTGTGTTTGTGCACTCCATTAGCCAGCTTTCCTTCTAGCCACCATATGCAGAGCTCTGAGCCCAAGCTAGCTCCATCTGTCAGGTTAATGCCCAGCCTCAGCCCCAAGCAGCTGGCCCCTACAAGCGCCATTATTCTAGGAGGAACCATGTGGGAGCACACAGCCACACACACACAACCACACACACACAACCACACATACACAACCACACACACACAACCACACATACACGCACGCAGATGTAGTGAAAGACAGACACACTTGGAGCCAAGGATCATCACACAATGACAAAGTCGCTGTAGCCTGGGACGGTGTTTTTGAAGCTCATTTTGGCAGTCTGAGCAGGTGTCAGATAAATGTTGCCAACATGGATTCATTAGTCTCTGTGGTCAGCAGGTTGTTGGGCAGGATTCTCCTCAACTGAGATAAGAGGAGAAGAAGGAGGATGTGAAATAAGTGACTTTTAGTGAAAAAAGAGGAGCTGTAAATCAAATAATGGGCGTTTTTCTAAATAAAAACAAAGTTCGCATAATGCATGTGATGTGCACCGTTTAGGGACTTTTTCCTGAAATATTATTAGTATGATTTAGCCTCAACAGGAAGGTAGCTGACCCCCCACAAGTCATTAGAAAACTAAGAATAAAACAGGCTGAAATGAGGATGAGTAATAAACTGCCCAATAATGAGTGCTTTGGTTGTTCGTGGTGAAGAAAGAGTTAAACTGAAAGGCAAAGCTTTACTGGTCTATTTTGCATCCCTCAACTATGGTGATGAGGTTTGGATGATGACTGAAAGAACAAGGTCCTTAATTGAGTTTCTATCACAAGGTGGCTGGTGGAGGCCCTTAGAGATCCATCCATCTATCCATCCATTATCTATACCCATTTCTTCCTTTCAGGGTCGCAGGGGTCACTGGTGCCCATATCCAGCAGTCACAGTGCGAGGGGCGGGGTACACCCTGGACAGGTCGCAAGTCCATCACAGGGACACACAGAGAGACAAACAGCCATTCACTCTCTCACTCAAACCTAGGAACAATTTAGAGTTATCAATTAACCTAACAGTCATGTTTTTGGTATGTGGGAGGAAGCCGGAGAACGCAGAGAACCCACACATGCACGGAGAGAACATGCAAACTCTACCCAGAAAGGTCCCCGGGCCGAGATTTGATCCGGCGACCTTCTTGCTGAGAGGCATCAGCTCTAACTAATTGAACCACCAATTGACATCCAAATGACTGGGTGAGCAAAGACTTTTGGCAATATAGTGTAGCTGCATGCATTATTTTGTTCTCAGCATCATGTCATCCATCCCCTTATGACACTTTTTGCTCCCTCTTGGCATACAAAAGAATACTATATTGCCAAAAGTATTTGCTCACCCATCCAAATGACTGTGCACCAGTGCACAAAGCAAGGTCCATTAAGACATGGATGGCAGAGTCTGGTGTAGATGAACTTGACTGGCCTGCACAGAGTCCTGAGCTCAACCCAATAGAACACCTTTGGGATGAATTAGAGTGGAAGACTGAGAGCCAGGCCCTCTCGTCCAACATCAGTGACCTCACAAATGYGCTTCTGGAAGAATGGTCAAAAATCCCCATAAACAAACTCTTAAACCTTGTGGACAAACTTCCCAGAAAAGTTGAAGCTGTTTTAGCTGCAAAGGGTGGACCAACATCATATTGAACCCTATGGATTAGATATGGGATGTCACTTAAGCTCATATGTGTCAAGGCAGGTGAGCAAATACTTTTGGCAATATAGTGTATTTTTTTTTACAATTTACAACATTTATGGCTGAGTGTAGAGATTAACTCTGACATGAGGTTAGACATCAGCAGCAAATAAAAATTATAGTTAAAACTAATTTTGAAAAGAAATATTATTGATAACTAGGTTGCTAAATTATTAAATGACATATGTCATGACAACTGTCCTCTGACCTTTAAGTGGAAGCTGTTTGTTGCAACAATTTTCAACAGATGTATTTTTTATCAAGGGTTTTGAAAGATTTTTAAAAAAAAATTAATCTTCATTTTTATTTTTTCTTCTACTGAATCTCAGTCACAGTTGCCTTTAAAAAAATGGAACATAGTCCAGACTTGTATTTTATGATGTGCAGCAGCAGGTGGTGACTTCTTAGAAAGCAATCTGGTCAGTTTTAGTTCATACTAGCCATAACGTGCCACTCACCCCAATCATCACAAGTTAGAATAATCAGCAGGTGGACAACAAGCTGTGATGACAAAAAAGACCCTTGCATGACTTGTGGTGTGACATCAGGTTTAATGCATTCTGCTGCTATTGATGTTGAAACAGCAGTCAAGAATTTCACATTAAGCTATTCTCATCAAGACACAGGTCAAAAAGACTCAAAGTTATTGGATCCAAGCAGTGCTTAATTTAAAAGCACTTGTATTTATTTATTTTTTATTTGGATATAGTCTGTTTATTCATTTTAGATATGTGGTTGATGGCAGTAGTGCAGAAATTTACCCTTTGGGGAAAAGACATTACTGATCCAGATGTTTCAGGTGTCATGCTTTTATCTTTATTTTATTTTATTTTTTCTAATGTCAGAGTTGGTAGTGTGCAGCAATGGGCAGAAGGGGGGAGTAAAAAAAGTAATTAGGTCATGTATTTTGGATTTATTATTTTTGTATGCTTTACATATTTTAGGACTAATCAACATAATACATTTAAAAAGTCATAAACAGTTTTTTTTCCCCACTACATTTTGTGTTACATCTCAGCTCCATGTGAGGGTGTGGCTTCTTCAGACCCAGACATATCATACATTGAGCCTAATCTGACACTTATGACTAAAAGGGAAACTGTTGATGTTTCCATTTAGAGTCGATGGGGTTGAGATTTGTAAAGTCAGTGAGGTGAAGTTTTTGGGTGTAGTGATAGATGAAGGGTTGACATGGAGACCTCACATAAATTATTTAAGAACAAAGATGGCTAAATCTATTGCTGTTCTGTATAAAGTAAGGGAGTTATTTAATGATAAAGCACTGTATATGTTGTATAATGTAATAATAAGTCCACACCTGGTTTATTGTATTGAAGTCTGGGGGAAAGCGTGTAGGAAAATTACAAATCCTGTTTTTTTTTGTTTTTTTTTTTTGTTTTTTGTTTTTTTTTATATACAGAAAAGAACTGTGAGAATTATTACTGGAAAACATTCTCATCACCCATCAAATTCATTATTTTGTAAATTGAAAAATATTGAAGTTCTTTGATTTGGTTGATTATAATATTCTACTGGTTTTGTATAAGGCCCACAAAAACACATTACCTTTAAACATCCAAGTAAATTTTGTTAAGAGAAAGAGTTGTTATAACCTTAAAGRGGCAGAGATATTTGTAAAACCCAAATTCAGAACTAGTTTTAGGGAACKGTGTACAATTCAAATATATAATACTAATTATGTAATAATATCATACTAATACTAATAATATAATACATATTCAAGGAAAAAAAACTATGGAATAACTTGGGGAGTGATGTAAAAAATGTAAGAGCCTTGTGTACATTTAAGAAAATTATAAAAGTTGGACTGCTAAAGAAATACGAAACAGTATAAGGTGTATCTACATGTATATAGATTGTTGTTCTAGAGGGATTAGATGTTCTTGTCTTTTGTTTTGCTAATAACATAGATGTTTTTTGTTATATGAACTTATTCTTGAGACAAAAGGGGCAGATATTATAAGACTTTTTTCTTCTCTCTGATGCCTTTCGTTTCATTTTATTAGTGATTTTGATAATATATTTTTTTTTCTTTTTTCTTTTTTCTTTTATATTGTATTTAAAATTATTTGTTTTGTTTTAATGAAATGAGTAAACTGAATTGAATTGAGATTGAATTGAATGCTGAGTTAAGTTTGAGGAAAACGAAAACAGATAAAAACAGCTGAATATATATCCATATATCATATTATATTTGTATTTTTTATGTTAAAACTTCACATTTCCTCATCAAATAAACTGACCAAACAAAACTCAATCAGCATGTTGACATGTGAGCAGAAGTGAGGACTGATATTTGATCAGCTATTAGCAAATAGGATTTAAGAGGTTAATGTTTGCAGAGCCACTCTTTAATATACTCTGCACATATACTGAGGACAGAGATTAATCTCAGACCCTGAACAATGTTCAATTTTCAGCTTCAGTTCATGTTCATTGTTAAGAAAAATATACTTTGTGTGGCTCTATTTTGTTTGCATCTTTAGGGTTATTGATTCCCCTAAAGATACCATTGGCATAGCAGAGAAATATAAATCAGTCRTCTCTCTCCTACCAGCCTGCAGCCACAACTTTAAAGAAAGAAAAAGCACTCATTATAGTACAGAGCATTCCTCCTGACTCAGCAGAAATGAGCATGATGTAACACAAAGCTCACCTTTGACAGGCCTCCTACATCCAGATAAAAGCAGATGATGAAGACGTTCCAGGCTACCCAAAGTGCAGCCCAAACTGTATACTGCAAAGTAAACACACACACAGGTTAGTTTCAGAAAAACTACTAAAACCAAACAGAACACATGTATTTAAGCCTAATAAATGTGTTGCTACATAAAAAAGAGGCTAGTATCCATCAGTATGCTGTAAATACAGACGAACCCAGCATATATAGTGTAAATGKGCATGCAAGGCCTTACTTTTATRAAGATGTCAGTAATCTGAGTGAGTYTCTTTGAACCCTGTGGGATTTGTGGGATTTGAAACTGCTGAGGCTGAGTAAAGTTCACGACTCAACCATTTAGAAAATTGTACAGTCAGACAGCCAGCTGCTGACAGACACAGAGTGGTACTGGGTGGGATTCACTGACAGAGTCGTCAGAGTGAAGCTTGTGAAATCCTTTGACTCACAACGAAATGTGTGTTTAAAATGTCAGCAGGGGAGCAAAGGGCAAGGCATGCGGCTCCATAAAGTAACATACGTGTTGAATCATGAGCACACCCCCAGCTCGCAGCCTCCGGTTTTCCACTTGACATGAGACAATAGCTTCAACTTTCCCTCCTTTCACCTCTTGCTTCCTCCTTTTTCTTTCATCGCCATCCTGTACGACTCTCTCCTTTATGCTCCTTTAGCTCCACTGTCTCTCTTTATTAACTTCCTCCTCTCTCCATTTTACTCCCACAATCCTTTCCTGTATAACACCGCCATCWGTCCATCTTTCCAATGCTCCCCAAAATATGCTTTTAATGCTTCCAATAAATGTTATGGTGTCCGATTAAAAACTGAAGTGTGTAAAAGCACGTTTCTAAAAAAAAACATATTGGCAGCACATAGGGCACAGCAGACAGAACATGATTTGCTTTTTGCTTTAGAGAATGACCTTCTCTGTCCAGAAGCTTGAAGCCAAGTTTAAATCAGATTAGCTACTTAGCGCCCCCACAAGATCTTACCCTCCTTAATTAGCTCTAATTACCAGGAGATTAGATTGATTTAAGGGTGTCACACGACGCACAAATGAATGTAGCACAGTTTGTAGTTCTAGAGGAAAGGCGACATAAACTAAAGGACAATTTGTACACAGACATGCTATGTGAAACTGATTGGGAAAAGAAAAAAAGTAAGAAAACCTTGGGATTTTAATTGGGTGTACTTACAACTACGATGTAGCGTGGCCGGTACTGGATGGTTCCAAAGAGACCCAGGATTACAATGATGATATGAAAAAAGTTAGCAAGGATGGGGGCCCACTGGTAGCCGAGGAAGTCAAAGACCTGCCTTTCCAAAGCTAGAACCTAAAAGAAAAGAAGCAGACAAATGTTATCAGGTAGGAATGCACTAGAAGCAAGCTGCTTTTTGAGCCTCAACAGAGATATGATAACGCTGCATGTGCTTCATGGTTACTGAAGGAATCTCGGAAGAACAACACACTGGGAACTCAGTTTTTCTCCAAAATCAGTTCTCTGTTTTCCACTTTCAGAGAAAGTGATGCAGATCTTTACCCTAAATTGCTAAGCTTGTCTTTTGTTCACACTTTCAGAAATGTCATAAAAAAAGTGCTGCTGGGCAGTTTCTATGTCAGCTTGCAAAAAGAATCTTTGCTGAAAACATACCCCCATTTATGACAGAGTATTAGGACCAGACTACAGATTTTTTTTTTTTTTAATTCTGAGAATAAAGTCATAATTCTYGGCGGCTGTGGCGGAGTGGTTAGGGGAGCTGTCCTGAAACCGGAAGGTCGCTGGTTCAATCCCCCGTCCAGCCGTCTCAGTCGTTGTGTCCTTGGGCAAGACACTTCACCCACCTTGCCTACTGATGGTGGTCAGAGGGTCCAGTGGCGCCGATGCATGGCAGCCTCACTTCTGTCAGTGTGCCCCAGGGCAGCTGTGGCTACAGTGTAGTTTGCCATCATGATGCCATCATCAGTGTGTGAGTGTGAATGGGTGAATGTCTGTTAGTGTAAAGAGCCTTGGGGTCCGGAGGGACTTGAAAAGCGCTCAATAAGTTCAGTACCATTTACCATAATATTATAAGAATAAAATCATTACGTTACAAGTCCCAATATTGTAAGAATAAAGTCATAATATTACGAGAAAAAGTTGTACAAGAGTGCCCATATCCAGCAGTCATAGTCCAAGGGACGGGGTACACCCTGAACAGGTGGTAAGTTCATCACAGGAACACACRCTGCAGTTGGCATTAACAGTTCTTGTTGAAGAACCTGTACATGGCAGGTGATGATTTCCATATGCACCCACCCTCACCTCGCTCTCTAAAAAGGTGGGCAAAACATTCAACCTAGCTGACACCGCAAATCATAGGATTAAAATAACATCAGAAAAGATTTTCTTTTAATGTACTTCCAATGATTACTGTCTGCAAGTACTGTTAAGGTTTGTCCAGAGGTTTATGAGACATTTTGGTAGTAGACACACAAGCTTCCTTCAGTGGTGAGTCAGTGTTGATGCATTTGACCCACCATTTGACCWGTGAGTAAAATCCAATAAGCCAGTTTATTAGAACTATCACACTGTTGCAACTGATGCCTAAACATTGAAATTAACAACAAAACAATAACTTAGAGCAAAATTTAAAATTTCAATACATATGTCTCACAATTATTTCTCATTTAGTTTAAAACCCAATTGTCCTGCTCTTTATTGTATATTATCAGAACAGCCTGAAATTTGAGGAAGGTTCTTATTTCTCCCAATGTTGCCAGAGCCTTCTGAAYGTTGGCAAGAAGGTTAAAAACAGTGCTCTCCTCTTTGGCTCAGCAAGAGTTTTATCAGTAAATCTGTAATTGTTTTAGAAAGCATCCTGTCTTTCCCTCTGGGTGCTCCCTCTAATAAAACAAAACAAAACAAAAAAACTGAACAATCAAGCTGTTATTGTAGAATGCCCCAGGACAGGAATGTTGGCAAGTTGGGAGGTGAACACATATTGTCTTTGAGAATAAATTCTGAAAAGGTGCTGAGAAAATGTTCTCTTTTCATTGTTAAGGTTTTAATCACCTCCCTGGATTACTTGAAAAGCCAGTTTCACCAATGATTTAAAGCGTAAARCAGTTTTGTCAGAAGCCTTTATCATGAGACTGAAATCAGTGGCCAGTGTACCTTTAAGTCTTAAACATGCCATTTCAAGAAGAACATACGTATATTTGTTACCAAGCCTTATGAAGTGTTGATCTCAAAATCATAATCATTTTTGTCAAATCCAACAAAATTGATCAAAGAGAGGGAAAACAAACTAAAAAAAATCAATGATGTCTGATGATACTTGTAATAAACACGAGGCGCTGCATTTGAAATAAACTATCTGATGTATGTTTAACCTGTGTTTACAGCAAAAACATTTTACACTCCAGTTTGTTCATCTAATGCAGACGTTRGTGTTGTTTCATAAGAGTGATTTCTCACATTTGGAAACCACTGACATCAACATGCAAAGGCATAAGTTTAGTTCTACCACTGTGTGTGTGTGTGTGTGGGGGGGGGGGGTTATGCTCTCTGTTTATTTATTGATTACATTATTATTCATTACAACTTTTGTAAAATGATTCAGGATATGTTGGGGTTAAAATACATTGTAAAGTTTTTACTGTGGTTTACTTAACTTTCCTGTTTTCTGTGAATTTACTCTGCTCCCGTCAGTTCAACAATCAAGAAAAGAGTTAATTTTCCCCATTTTTTTCCAACAGTAACAAATATTTTACATTTTTTGGATGTATTATTATACAACACACTGATTTTTCAATTTTCCAAGAGTATATGTTTACCTGGTGCTGTTGTGTTAGAATAAATGATGTAATTTTATTGAGGGGTAGGCTATATTAACTGGATCAAATAATTGTGGGGGGTCATAATCCCCCTAACCCCCTGCAAAYTACGCCCATGTCAACATGCATTTGACCCTCTGGGAATAGAAGTCCTGYATGTGATGCAGCTGGAAATTTTCCTCAGCACACCCCACCCCTACCGGTCTCACCCCTTATACAAAAAAAACAACAAAGTGAATCCTTCACAGGTCTACAGTTCACTGTCTGGCTTTGACTGTTTGTCAAAYGCTATTAATGATTCAAGACAGGTTTTTTTATTCAAAGAATGATTGATTTCTAACTATACATGAATGAACTCTTCACATCTTCATTTGTTCAGCTTCACATGCTCGGAGCATAACCCCTCAAAACAGATAAACAAAAACAAACCACCCCAGCTCTAGAAGAGTGAACTCTTTTTTATAGATCTTAAATCAACCTGCCATTTAGGGACAATTCAGAGGCACTGACTATTTAATTAAAATTCCAATGCCAATCCAATTCCACTTCATTCCCAGCGTGTGTGTTGTGTATAAATGTATTTTGTCGTGTGCTGACATGTCATTTACAGCCGAACATTTGAAAGATGGATGAGGGAGAAAGGAATATTGTTTTCTGACGCCGTGGAAGGAGCACACCACTGAGCACACCACACAGACATGCATCACTTACATACACATCCCACACACAAACACACACACACACACGGATGGCACATCATCCTAATGTAGTGGAGTGAAAACTAGCAACTCAATAAGATGATCAAATACTAGGTGATAATTAAAAAACGGAACACTTGTTTGCATCGATAGCAAAAGTCAAAACTGCGCGAGTAGRGTGTGAAACAACAAATGAAGTGTGTAAATAGCTGCATGGCTGAAGCTTTATTAGCAAAAGTCTTTACAAAAAAAGCTTTTCATTTACAAAGGAGTATAAAAAATAAATGGTAAAAGAATGGAGTTGGTAAAACAAAATAAAAAACAGATGAGGGGCATCTCATGACAACAACGCAAAATCTGGGAGAAGATTAAAAATATATTGCTTGGAAAATTAAAATGGATGGAAGCTGCGTTTAAACGACTGAGCTCACCTTTATCTAATAAGCTCTGTCGATCCCTCTGGAAAGAGAAAGGGCTGAGGGAAATGAATAAAGCTAAAAGGGTCGTACATCTTCTGGGCGGGTCACGGTTAAAGAACCCAGTCAAACATCAGCAGGATGTCAGCGAAGATGAGATGAAGCTCGTTTGAAGGGGCTGTTTATAGGTCCGACCCTTAAAAAATGTCATGATCACAGTAGTTATTACTCAAAACTGCTTCAAAATGTAGGGAAAATCCTTTATTCTTTCAGTTTTCAAAAGTAAAATCAACATTTTTTTTTCAGTTAGTACTTTCTTTATGACATAAATGTAAAAGAATAAGGGGTTTCTGTAAAAAAAGGTTCAGGCAGACAAAACATCAGGGAATTTACTGTTGACGTGGTGCTCACTAAAACTTTTAATCAACTTAATTATATTATTTATAAAGTTAACTACTGTATATTCATTTTATTATATATAATGGTTTTAAATGTGACTTTTGCTTTTAAGGACAAACAGAAAAGAGGCTGTTTTCCAGTTAATATTAAAACATTTTAGTGATAAATTTAATAAACCTAACTACAGTTTTCAAAGGACTTTATAGTTCTTGGCATTTCTGTTTATGTTACTTCTATATATTTGGTTTAATTTTTATTTAACATTTTTGCAATAATCGTTTGTGAATCAAGGCTTCAGTTACAAATTTAGGTTATCTGGGTATGAAAACAAGACTCATTAAAGTGCATTTTTGTCAGTTGTTATCGGGTCAGGACTTCCTTTCCGACCAGCTTGTTTGAGGAAGCTCTTAGCTCACATTAGATCCACTTTCCTGTCTTTTTCTTTTATTTGTTTACTCAAAACTTGACCTACCCCGGGCTTTTCTGCTCTGATCTTTTGGCCCAGACTCGCTCTAAGTTTAAGCTCCTCTACCAGTCAGCCACTAAATTAAAGTGGACATCATCCTGTTGTAGTGCAGTTGTCTGCAGGGAATCCCTAAAGCCTCTCATTCTGAGAATGTTACTTGGAGCCTGTTAGAATCCCTTAAATTAAGAATGTCTGAAATAACTCATAATATATGGATACCAGACAGTTGTAAAAGACTAAAATAGATTTGAAGAAACTATACTTATAAAGCCTAAAAGTAAGGGAGATGAACATTCCAGCCAAAACAAATACAAGAGAGCGAAAGCCTCAAACCAGATCTAACTCAAGCCAAAACCCCCAAAAACCTAAAACCATCCATACATTTTCTTTACCTGCTCRATCCTGTGGAGTTGTGGGGAGGATCAAGCTTGTGTCATACAGGTTACCAGTCCATTACAGGGTCACGTTAACAATGACCACCAATTAACCTAACATGCATGTTTTTAGACTATCAGAGGAAAACCAGTGTGCACAGAGA